ACCAAGGAACTGTATGTGCTCTCCGTTTCTTGGTCAGACATACGGTTGAGCCGCAACAGACGTGAAGAAACATGAGGAAAAATATCGAAATTTGAAGTTTAGAGCGATATGGGTGAAGGGGTGGAGATGGAAAAAAGCATTAAATTACAATATTATAGATTGTTAAATCTAAATGCAGTAAGTGTTCTTCGTTTTCTGATTAGACCAATGGTTTAGCCACAACAAGCGTAAAAAACGCATTTTCTTGGAATTTTCAAAAATCCAGACTCAGCATTTAATTGCAAAAAATAGTCAAGGAGATTGGGGAAATTTTGATGCTCAGGGTTCACGATAGAGAAATGGAAGGATTCACGGACGTCATACTGGTTTGATTTCCCTCCTTTCTTGTTATAAATCTTCACTTTAGTTTCGTAGTTCCAGCAAGTTTCAAATTGTTTTTGTTTCGTTTAGGTAAATGTGGTTAGTTGGTATAGGATTATTATATGAATGTATGATGATTGTGGTTGTGTTAGCCCGAAATGGAAAAATAACAAAGCCTAGCATAACTTTTGAATCATTGTCAAAAGGTTAAAGTACTTTGATAATGACAAACTCCATTTGAAATGCATAACCTGTGTTGGAAGTAGAAAGTTTTAGCCCTAGCCTATGTGAAAAGAAACAACACAATGTTGACATGTTTCTCGTTTATAATACTTTGGAATTAAGCCATTAATTGGTGTTAAACTATTTTTTATTTAGATCTGCAAAATCTACTATATCAACGATTATTTTCAATGTTCAAAACAAAGACTAGTTATTATAATATATATCAATTGTAACAAATAACAATTTACAAAATCCAAAACAAATCTAAGAATAGTTATTCAAACGTACGACCGGTATAAGTTGAAAGGCTATCTAGTCTAAAAATATACCTCATCCAAATACATTATTTTTATTTTAAAATAACAACAAACATTAAAAATATGTTTCATCAAATCTAAAAAATATATTCATCCCAAATTAAAGAATAATTAATCATTCTGTTAGAGCAATTTGACAGCTATGCCACAGTTCGAACAGATGAGATGTCCTACAGAATGTGAATCGTACCATAAATATTACGTCATAGAATCATCCCTCTTTTCCCTCGCTAGAACTCGCACAGCTGACAAGAATGACGTGACGTCCTTTCCACCTCTCCCTCCCACCTCTTGTTTACACTATCGCCTGTAATTCTTCTCTTCTTGGCCTTCTCACTGTCACCTAACTGTTTGATGTGCTCGGACGTGCAGGTGTTGTGTTAATTCGTTAGCTCTACGTTTAAGTGAGCTTATCATTTTTAGTCAACAGACTGTGGTTTCTTTGGAAAAACACTCTCAGCTAAGGTATCTTTTAATAATTGGATTTTATTTATTGAATAATTTTAAATTAAGTATTTCTAATCATTGGTGTTTTACCAAAAACTGATTACCCATAACAACCATAATTATTGTGTTTTCATGTTAGTTTCATAATGAACTAGCGTATATTACAAACTATTTTTTGCGCTACATATACATTTTGTACTGCAGGAGAATGCGAGTTTGAAACTTAATGAACCAATAAACTGATCTATGACCAAACTTTTTTTAAATCACTCCAGAATTATATACACATACATGTCCAATTGTTATCAAGCTTGATTGGCTATTTCGTAGTTATTTAAATACAGTAACTTTCCATATAGACGTGCAAAGTGGTTCATAAGGTTTCAACATTCTTAAAACTCAAAACAAACTTGTATGTGGAATCTTGGTATTTTTCCATTAGTAAACCGAAAATTCCCTAAACCTTCAGGTGCATGCTTGAATAGTAAATTAGGGGTAAGGTTCAACATTGGTAGGGAGGGTGAGCTTTCACTTTAAGTGCAAAGAATCTTGATTCGTGACTTCTCTTGTATTAATCCTGATTTATATTGTTAATTATGTGGCCAGGGATGAATGTAGTGGATTTAAATAAGCTATACCAACGATATGTAAATCATCTTGCACTACTTGCGTTTCGTGGTCAAAGGTAAGTTTGTGGATAAGTTTGCTTTTTTAATAATATTTCTGAGACTCGAGCATTGCCTAATGTGCATTATTGTGCAAGTATGCCATGCACACGCGATTAAAATGAAATAGATTTTACCATTTAATTCTACGTATATAAAAACGGAGAACAGCTTGCTTATACAGTATAAAACTTGCTAGATTATATCAAGAACGTAGATTCCCTTGTGTAGGTCTCTCATTGGGCGTAAGTGACGGATTCAAATGGACACTTGAAAAGCAATAACAGGGTTTACTACTTGGTCGTGTCGTGTTTACTTCATGAGCAATTTGCTAACCTGTAACTTTGGATCACATTGCTACACAAATCGTTTAGTAAATATTCACTGTATTCTTTCGGTTACTTTTGATCCAACTTTAGTTATACTTTGGGCAGATTTTGAGAATCTTCAACCACGATTTTATCTGTAAGTGAGTAAAGGAACTTTAGCTTTCTACATTCAACTCTTTCAATGTTTTAATGCACTTCGTTTAGGGTTTGTCTCCTATCCCTTGGTAACCAAATTTATATTTTTTAAGTTTCGCATAATATTTGGGGGAATTGCAGTACATATCAAGTGTACATTTAAGAGTCCTTGGAGCCTAGATATTATAACTCGTACAACAATTACAAAAGTAGGAAGAACATTTCTAATCCCACAGTGCACTAGATGTTTAAATTTTTAATCACTTTGGTTTTCGGAAAAAAAAATTTGGATGATAAATAACCCTTCGACAGCTGTTTGAAATAATCCCAGGTGGCCACTAGCCTGTAAGGACTCCTAACTACAACACTTTTAGTTTTTAGTTTTATTAAATTATAGAACACATACAGGGTGATTGGTACTCAGTGTGACAAAAAATGTTTGGTGTAAGTACAAAGTAAATGTAGTGTGATGATGCATATAAAAGGTTCCAAGTCTAAAAATTAGCTTCCCAAAGAATTATTTTATGTTTTTCAAAAATAACTATGTTTTTAAACTTAATACAGCAATTTCTCAATTACCTGTATATGTATTTGAGTAGATACTGTCATTTTCGTGTTCTACATTAAATTATGAATAAGAATAATAGAAAATGACGGAGGATCAGTTGTAAAAACTCCAATGTATATTTATGTATGATTTAATTTAAACAAACATTGGTCTTTTTTCACACCCTGTATACAAGACAGTGTCCGAATATGGTAAAAACTGCGCCATTTTATAAGCCTTCCAACCATATGCTACACTATTGAGGTTTAGATATTCTTTCGTTTGTTTTAGTGGTTTGAATACCAGAAAACAGGGAACTTTTGTACTGTTTCTTACTGTTCAAGCTGAAACAAAAATACAACTTTCGCTTAATGCATGCGGACTTTCTGTGTTTCAAATGTTAAAGACACCATGTTTTGTAGTCTTCAAACCACTAAAGCGTACATAAGCAGACATAAAGCTCAATGGTGTAGCATATATATTTATGGTTAGGAGGCTTATAAAATGGCGCAGTTTTTACCATATTCGGACACTTTCTTGTATACAGGGTGTGAACAAATACAATAGACCAATGTTTTTTTTTAAATTTTTATCAAACATCTTAATTTGTATCTTTGAATCTATTTACAATGGAGTTTTTACAACTGATCCCTCATCATTTTATATTATTCTTATTCAAAATGTAATGTAGAACACGAAAATGACATTATCTACTCAAACTCATTTACAGGTAATTGAGAAATAGCTGTATTAAGTTTAAAAACATAGTTATTTTTGAAAAACATAAAATAATTCTTTGGAAAGCTAGTTTTTAGACTTGGAACCTTTTATATGCATCATCACACTGCATTTACTTTGTACTTATACCAAAAAATGTTTGTCACACTGAGTACCAATCACCCTGTATAAGCAAGTATACGAATGTATGGAAAACTTGCATTAAATTTGGAGTGTTAGGAAATGTAACAGGTTTGAAAGAATGCACTAAAATTTGCACAACGGTCAATGATTAATGACCACGATTTAAGTTTAAAGTATCATGAGCATTTTTCAACATCACTTGAGGAAATAACTCTTGATTAATAATTTTTTAATGAACATATTTAATATGCAATGCTTATAAAGTGTTTCCCTTCCCTGATAACCACGATCTAAAAAGAACAATCTCTACCAACGTGTTCGTTATTATTATAACAAATAGAGTAATTAGTTGTCGACGGAGTGATTATTCAAATGTAAGAACACATTTTATATCAGCGAGTGAATAATCTATGCACTGACGTGTGCACACTAAAATTTCAAAATTACTGCGTACAGATAAAAAACCCTTTCAAGCCATACAATTATTGAGTAGGGGGGAATTCCCCAGGGGATAATTGAGGGAAATTTTGGTGAAATGTATCTTCATACAGGATTTTTCATGTGGTATTTAAAATTAATTGTCATTTAATTGCTACCAAATCAGTATATTTTGTCACAATCTGTTCAGTAATATACAGACGGCGAGGTAGCGATAAGCCATATGAGCAAGCCGATATTGACCGCTGCCACAATGATAATAATTAGTGCAACTGCAGAGTCAGGCTCAAAATCAGCAATTACTTATCAGACGCAACGTTGACGGCGCTGACCTAATGTTTTCGATAGACGTCCAAACGCACGTTAAAACAGTGGATATAGAGAATATTTGGTATTCAGTTTTTGGTCCGATCCTAAAAAGTCAGAAGCATTTTGATGGTTCGAAACTAAACCCATCCGTACGTCTCACTAAAATTCCAGCTGATATTTAACTAATCGTGTTATAAAGATGCGTCATATTTAACTAACATAATTCAAACACCTTTGGTGTTTATGCGATTTGCTGCAGATCCCCAATGGTAGTTGCGCCTTGAGCAGCTTTGCATTGGATTTGCATTTTTATATAAAAATTAATAATCTGAATTACTTTTGTAATTCTGCTTTTCTTCTGTTTTAGGGTGGACGCGTCGGCTAAGTCGAAAAAGTAAGTTATAATGTAAAGCGTGTAGGCATACTAATGAGTCATTGTAATAAAGTTAGGGCGAATGATTTCTGCTTTGGTATCAGAAACAATAAGGTGTAGGCCTCATTATTGTTTTCAATATATAGTTTTATGCTGATGAACTGTATTGATTGTTGTCCTTAAATTTAATTTGTTAGCTATGGATCAGTGCGTGGCTAGTATTTGTATAAGCACAACGTAAAATCTAGATCGGAAGAGAACCAAAGCCAGACAAAACTTATGAATTGCTTCGAAAGCTTGAGGGTAGGGTACGTTAGTATATCTCTTAGTTTGCGACAGTTCACAAACTTATGGCCCATGAATGGAATTTTCAAGTGGTTCATAACGATACATTTTAGTCCACTATGCAATCTAATATTTTGACACCTATAGGTCAATTATTGTAATTTTTCAGCAGAGTGAAGCGAAGCTCTTTGGGATCAACTTCAATGCTCCTTTATAACACTTAATCTCAATAACGGCTCAACATATTTTAGCCAAACTTACCAAGGTTGTTTTGTCAAATGTTTGGATGGTTTGGACGTAACCAATTTTAATTTTTGATAATGCCTATATCATTTTAAAGTAACTTATATTTACATTCAAGTAGCAATTTGGAATCTAACACTGATCGATCGAATATGTACAGTCATAGATAAAACTCACCTTCTTTTAGGTACATTAACAGATTTTATTTACGTAGATAAATAAGGTTATAACAAATACTGTAACATGTTATCTTAAACAATTCGTTGAAGAATCACATTCATGGATCCATCTCATAAATTGCAAACTTAAACCGGTCCACGACGTAGAAAGTGGTGAAGGAAGTAGTAAAGGCGAGAAGTGCGGAGTGTGAAAAACGTTTTTCCAAGATCACGCCAGCGTGATCTGTCCGGCGTGATGTCCGTTGGTGCTTAATTTTGGTCCGGCGGATGTCCTATCAAGCTCGGCGTGAGGGTGAGGGTGGTTTGCAAGAGAGCGGACTTCGCTGTTTAAAACAGTGTTATAGCTCGAAACAAAATGAGTATCCTCAAGAGTCCTACACTTGTACGCTCGGCGTGCACGCCAGAAATGGCTGGGGACATTTTCAGCGTGCCACGCTCAGGACACGCCGGACAGATGGCGGGAAAACTCATGTCCGGCGTGATCGCTCGCGCTTGGAAACCGCACCCATATAAAAGCATGGCTTCAATTTAATCTTGATTACGTAATCACGCTTGTCCACTCACGCTGTCTGCCCGGCGTGATCTTGGAAACCGTAGCTTTAGATAATTGTATCTAAAATACTAAAATGCTATGGGAAGGGGGGGAATAAGTCCACGACGTAGGAAGTTGTAAAGGAAGTAGTAAAGGCTGGCAATGCGGGGGGTGGGAACCGTCTGTGACAGTTACATTATTGTATCTGCAATACTAACATGTTATGGGAAGGGAGGGAAACAGGTCCAAGACGTAGGAAGTGGTGAAGGAAGTAGTAAAGGCGAACAGTCCGGAGTGTGGGAACCGTCTGTGGCAGTTACATTATTGTATCTGCATTACTAACATGTTATGGGAAAGGAGGGAAACAGGTCCAAGACGTAGGAAGTGGTGAAGGAAGTAGTAAAGGCGAACAGTCCGGAGTGTGGGAACCGTCTGTGGCAGTTAGATTAATGTATCTGCAATTCTAAAATGCAATGGGAAGGGAGGGAAACAGGTCTACAACGTTGGAAGTGGTGAAGGAAGTAGTTAAAGGCTAGCAGTGCAGAGTGTGGGAACATTTGTATTTTGTATTATATCTATAATTCTTTTCCATTTATTGCTTTATTAAAAATCACGAAACATGATTTCTCCGCTCAACTGTCTTTCATTGCTATGAAAGCAATCGTAGTACGATCGTAAGTAATTATTTGGAAGCAGTTAAACATAGAGTTGAGCTTAAAACCAAATATCCTGTTTTATTTTTTTTTTACTTTTACAACTAGAGGAGCTTTTATAGGGACGGGCTTACATTTATTAAAATATATACACGGTACCTAATTTATATTTATTTTGATGTAAAACCTAATATATGCTTACAATTTTTATACTTTCTCCTGATCTTACATCCGGGTTTTTAAAATCCACGAACACGGTTAGGACATGAAAAATACTCGTCAGAAACCTCATAAAAAATTAAATGTTTCCATGTGTAATGATTTGGTCATTTGGATATTTGGACACTCCGGTACTTTTTTCCATCCTGTAAGTATTCTTTGTTTCTATCCATAAGAAATCAAATAAACACAAAATCGTCAAAAATAACTATAAATCGACCATTTGTTGAACCCGGGATGAGACATTCATAAACACTTAAAATATAAGTTAACAAAGGATTTTAGTTATGTTAATTGCATAGGAATCACTTTACACCCATATTCAGGGGCTCTTTCCTATCTGTGTGTTTATCATTTAAAAATATATAAGTACGATTCCTTTTAGTGACAATGAATGAACGGCGTAATGGGCGTAAAGTCCTGGAGTCCTTGTAGTGGTCGGGTCGAAGTCCACGTCAAACCCTCGCACAGTAGATCAGCTGGTCTACGCCAAACGATCAATACGTCAGTCTGTGTCCGTAGTCAGTAGCCACCAGTCCTCGTCCGTGAACATGTCTGTGTGTGTGCAGCCTGGATTGTCCTTACACTTTCATCATTTAGGATGTAGACGGTATGACATATATTTCTCAATTCACCCCTTTACTCTATATTTCGACCCTTTTATCTGTAATTAATATATTAAAAATTAGGCATACAGAAATCGGCTTCAACCTGTCAATTATTTAAAAAATCGTAGTAAATCTGTAATAAAATGTGTTTGTTAAAGTAAATTTAATATATTAATGACAATCACGCGAAATGCGGAAATAGATGTTACAATGTAACAGATCCAATCATGACATTTTTAATCACCCACCACTTTCATGTGACGGATATTTTCATAAAATGTTTAGTTCTTCCATTAAATTTACAGTATACTATAGTATTTCTCTTTGAAGTTTATTCAAACGTGCGATTGAAACAAGTTATATTCGACATACTATTAACATTTTTCTTATTAGAATTTTTCGTTTTCCTAAATTTTATGTTTCGGGATTAGTTGCGCTTTCATGATTTGTTAAGAACATGTAAAACCATGAATACGAGATGATGCCACGTAAAGTCGTCAGGCAGTCTGGTTTAGAAATAATCGAGATCTTATCCTACGAGAGTCTCATTATCATTAGTTCAATTAAATCAAGTGTTACTAGGGCCAGAAAGCAAATAGTGCATTTTATATAGGTAAAGCAGTATGATATGTTTGTAGGAGTGGGATAATACTGTATAGTAAATGAACAAAAACTACAGGAAAAAATACATTAATATATATGTATGTTTAGGAAAAATGATTAGATGAACTAAAACTACCAAATTACAATATTTAAAATAAGCCGATTATAAATATAAAATACCACAAAGAGTTATTTTCCAACTCATTCAGGCTAAACATTATCAATAAACTAGAATAATCCATTTCCACAAACTGTTTTGTCTATTCTTTACCATCTGACAAAGGTAATCAGTTGTTAAATTACAGTTCACGTTTAAAACCGTTAAGAGCAAGTTGGTATAAAGCCCAACTTGATAAAGCCCTGGACCTTTAAAGCGACCTCTAGAAATAAATCAAAAGCTTGGGGGCGAAGTCCTGAAGGAAATTGCCTTTTTAATTATCATCCGCCCGTACGCTTTATCATAATATGCATAATATTTTTGCTCGATCGTAAACAACTGTTAAAATGGACGGTCGATAAGGGGTGTTACAAAAAATCCCTTATTATTTAATTAGCTATAACTGGTTGAATATTGTATTTACAATAATAGGTCTACTTAGTACTCCCACTACAGTGTAAAATTATAATTTAAAGCTTCATACAGCATTTTCAGGATAAACAGTTTTATGAAATCATAGGCCTACATAACAAATTGGGCCGCTTTTTTAGTTGTATCTTTCTCCAATAATAATAATAATAACATAGTGGATAAAAAGTTGTAGGATAAAACTTTGTAGTTAAGAATGTTGTTAATTGAGTGGAGTAGTCGTAGCGTAGAACGTGTTTATAGCCAATAAACATTCCGCATTGAGCGTATATGAGTGGGGTAGTAAAACCTATACATCTACTTTTACCTACAACTGCCCGTACAAGCGGATTCTTTACATTTAGTTTCTAACTTGTGTGAGACAATTTATAAAACTGTATTAAGCTTCAAGAATAACATAATTGTACAATTAGCTTACTTGACTCCTAGGATACTGATTAAAACATTTCTTGTTGTCAATTCGAGAATAGTGACATTAGTTCTTAAACGTGTGTGCAGGAAAGTAATTGGACAAAAATTATGTAAAATCAAACTATAATTACGACTCCCACCCAGAAAATTTGTACATACTTAAAAATGTGTGTATACTTGGTAGAGAAACAGGTCATATTAGAAGACCAACCTTATTAGACTGATCTTATTAGGCTGATTGGGAATCATATTAGATGTACCTATTGAAAAAGCGTTTGCACCATAGGCCCGATTATGGCGAAGATTAGGAACTTAAAATACCTGTCGCAGAAATCGTGCAGGCTACTGTAAGAGTTTTCGAATTCCAAAAGAAATTTTATATTTAGATTTACACTCAAACAAGGACTCAATAGGTAATTAGATTTGCTGCTACTAGAAGCATAAAACTGTGTTTTATTAAATCATAAAAGCTTACGACGACGTAAAAAAATTAAGCCATCAATTTATTCACCATAAGGATAGGTAGACAACTTTATACGGAACTTTGAGTAATTACATCTGCAACCAAATATTAGTACTGTTCTTTAATTTTATTTACGAAAACCCGCCGTACTATTTTTGTATATTTAACTTAAATATAATGATAAAACAGTTTTGTTTAGAATTATATTCATAGTTTTACGAGAGTTTAGGGTTGCCCTC